GGAGCCCAGGGCCTCAGCTGGTCCTCAGTCACTGGGGGAGACAGGAGCAGTCTGCAGAGGGCCAAGGCCGGGAGCCCAGGGCCTCAGCTGGTCCTCAGTCACTGGGGCACCACTGATGGTAAGAGCAGTGGGGTGTGGTCTAGGAACGACACTGAGGTATCTTCAGAGTCCTCTCATTCTCCTTTCTGAAGAGAAGATGTGTCTAAACTGCCTGGGTATCCTCAACCTTCTCTAAAGGGTAGCATGCTTCACTAGCTGTGAGAGAGGGCTCCAGAGCCCGTCAGTCCAGTAGAGACCCAGCTCCGAATCACGCCAGCTGTACATGTATGCTCAGGCCCATCCTACAACTGAACTTGGTCATAAAAGATTGCCTCGGGTGGTTGAGAGCACGATCTGCGTTAACTGTCGAGTGTCTGAAATGCAGCAAGTGCTCAGCACGTGGTAGCTCGGCCCCCACCCCTGACAGCATGTTTTAATCTCCTGTATTAACTTAACGCCTCCTCGAGAGTACAGACAGCTTGGGTCATGCCTGCCGAACAGATGCCGCCAGTCTGTGGACCAAAGGAGTAAGCAGTCAGCCATCTAGGCTCCTTGTAAGGGATAGACCCATAGCCTCTCACCACCTTGCTCCAGGGCCTTGCACAGGGTCATGAGAGACCCCACGGCAGAGCCAGATCGTGGCTGCTTCTGCCGGTCCTTTCCCATCCTCAGCAACTCTGGCAAGAGCTGCTGCTTCCGTTTCACAGAGGCAAGAGCCTGGCTCAAATCAAGCCATTCTATCACGGGATTCTACAGTGTCCTTCACGGTCTGGCACCTTCTAAACACTTGGGATACATCTTCCTGGGCAAAACAGAGCCAAGTAGAGAGTGCAGGGCCCAGGGTAGGACGAAAGAAAACTTGGGTTTCCCAGGATGCTGCAGCTGGGGAGCGGTAGAGATGGGGCACCCTGGCTGAAGCCCAGCCTCCTCCCTCTGCCCCCTCAGTGGGGGGCCCTTGAGTGCTCACCTGGAGCCATAAACAAGATGGTTCTGAGCCCCACCTGTTGCCTGGCATGTATGCCAAGACCTGCGGGGGTGGGGTCCCCAAAAAGGAAGCATCATCCATCCTGATGTGCCTATGCCAAACTTTTGAAGCCCTATGAAAGCTTCCAGACCATTGCTCTGCCAAACCTCACATGTGTGCCAGTCAGCCACCCTCCTCCAGCCCAGCTGGGGCTGAAGCCGAAAAGCCAGCAAAGTCTCAGTAAGCCAAAGTCAACTTCGGCAGCTTTACTTCCTACCTAAGGCAAGGGCAGGGGGACATTCTGGGGCATCTCAAAGGGTATCCAGGGGTCTGAGGAGGAAAGCCTCTGGGCTGCCATGTGGCCTCCTTGGGGCATGGTGGTAAGCGTGAGGATTTTCCTAGGGTGCGGGAAGTTGGCATGCACCCCACCCAGGGCTCTCAGCTGTTCTGCGGCTCTGAGCAGGCGTTTGCCCTGAAGCAACAGGCAGCCTGATTGGGTGGTCCCTAGGGAGGCAGCTGGGTTCCCAGGACAGACTGCAGGCCTGCTTCCACCTGAGCTGTGAGGACTCTACCCTGTCCATGGTGGAAGGAAAGGCTATAAGCTTGGCCTGCAGAGAACCTACTCCACGCTTGCTGCATGACCAGGCTGCAAGACCAGGCTGCAGCTAAGGGTCGATAGTCAGATCCTCAGGTAGGTCTGAGGCCCAAGCCCAGCGTGAGAGCAGTCCCCTTCAGTAGGAGGCTAACAAAGAGGACACAAATGCTCTTTTCCTGAACAGTACACACGAGTGCCTTGTTTCCAGAAGTTTGGTTTTTCAGAGAACAGATATGAAGTGGAATGGGTATTAGCCATGCCCTCTGGTAGTGACCCTCCCGATAGAGGGCAAGTGAGCATTTTTCTTCTCGATTTCCCCTCTCACAACCACTACTTTTTTTTTTTTAATCTTCAAAGTGATTTGCAGAACTGAGCTAATTAATTTCCCAAAGCAGTGGGGCCATCACCTGTCTCCCTCCCGAGTCCCGCCCCAGCCCCCAAGCATCTGGAGAAGGAGATGGCAGAGGGGATAACTCAACTGGCAGAGGCAGAGGGGAGGGGAGGGCGGGCCGACCTGCAGCAGCCCAGATGCAGGGAGAGGAGATTAGAGGAGGCAGGAGGCCAGGAGGCAGGCCTCCACCTGCCCTTCCAGGAGCAAGCTACAGCCCAGCTCTGCAGTGGGCTGTGTCCCTGAAGCAGCCGCTGTACCAGCACCACCAAGACCATACTCTTCACGGACAGAGTCCTCCTGGCCTCTGCCTTGGGTCTGGTATGGGAGGACATTTATTCATCCACTCACTCATCCACTCCCCTTTCTGATTCAAATATTCAAACAAATGTTAACCTTGCCCTCAGCCCTTCTGGCCCCCTCATAAGGAACAGGGGTCACACATAGAAATGAGACGCAACCCTGGATTACAGAACCTTACAGGTGACAAGACGGACTCCCAGACAGTGGCACACGTTGTGGGCGGGAGCAGACGGGGACAGAGACGTGCTGCAGAGACTTCACTGCAGAGACATTCGGTCTCACACTGGTTGGACGGTAAAAAGGCGTTTGCCAGAGAGGAATGAGTTAGCAGACAGGAAACCTGGACAGAGAGGATGACAAACGCAGAAGCAGGCAGAGGAGTCTGGGAGATGAGTTCCTGATGACTGACTGGGGAAGGTAGACCCCTGAAGATGGAAGGCTGTCCACAGGGAGACACGGGCTTGCAGGGGCTCAGCCAATGCCCTGGCCTTCACTCCCCACTCTGCGGTGTCCAGAGATGATGGTGGAGTTGGTTCCTGTGGGAAGTGGAAGGTCCTGAGTGAACCAGGGGCTCTCTACCCGGGGGCAGCCACCTGGCCCTTCCGACTGCCCACGGGCCAAGGGGAGCCGAGCTCAGGACATCATTGGCAGTTGGGAGGTTCCACCTAACACATGAGGGTGGGTGCTCTAGTTTCACCTCTGCTGCCCTCTGACTCTGGCTTGCGGGAGGAAAGGGCTTATTTCAGTCTGCAGGTCAGGCGAACACACAGAAGCCTGAGGCAGAAACCATGGAGGAACGCAGCTGCGGGCCCACTCCAGGCTCACACTTACCTTATACCTGCTGAGGGAGTGGTGCCACCCACAGTGGACCGTGCTCTCAGACATCAGTTATCAGTCAGGATAATTCCCCACAAACCTGCCTACAGGCCCATCTGTGTAGTGGGTAACCATTCCAGCTTTGATCTGGAAGTTTCAACCCCCATTGAGGCTTCGGTAACTGTCACACCTACAAGGCGGGGCCGAGAGAGGACCCTGAAGACCCGAGATCTGGATGTGCCACCTCTCTTGGTTCCTGGACCCTGGACACTGGAGGTAGACCGAGTAGAGTTCTCCAGAGAATACCGCCAGACTGTGCTTCGTCTTTCCCAGACCCTGTTACCCATCCCTTCACTTGTAAGTTACCCCACAAAATAAACCTCCCTTTTAACTATGTGGAGTGGCCTTAATAATTTCACCAATAAATCTGATCTAGGCAATCGCTCAGTTGAGACCCCCATCTCAGGTGACTCTAGGTTGTGTCGTGTTGACGGTCAAAGCCGACCAGCAACAGAACAAGGAGTCCCAAGGTCATGAGGGTGGTACTTGGGGCTGGCTCAAGGAATCAAAGATGTCACCCTTTGCAGACCATAACTCTCTAGCGATGGCCACAGACAACTGTCCTCACTCCAATACCACACCCGGCCATGGTAACAGCCAAGCAAGGAGAGAAGGAAGGCCTTGATCGACACATACCCCTTTCCGGGGGGAACCACACCCAGGAGCCCCTAGCAGTCCTCCCCTTAAATCTTCTAGGGCAACCAACGTCACACATCCTTCCCTGGGCCAGGCTTGGTCAAGGGGAGTCAGGCGCCTCAGATTAGCCCAGCCCAATCTAAACCTGTTCCCTGAATTAAACACCAGACTGTCACAACGGATTCTTCACATAGAAAAGAGTCTTTAAATAGGAAAGACCTAATAGAATCTTCCTACTGTTAACATTCTAAACGTACTTAAAAAAAAAAAACAAAAAAACAAAACTTCCTCATATTGTGTCCCTGACCTTGTACATTTTTCTTATCAGCTCTGAATTCCAGCAGTCAGCTGTTTTCTAGAGAACTAGCTCCATGGACCCCAGCCTCTCTGCTCAGGCATGTCTGTGGGCTCTGCCTGCACAGCTGGGCACCTGGCATGTACCCCAGGGAGGGGTGGGTGGGGGACTGGCACCCTGGACCCATACTTGGCAGTTCCAAGTCACCAAGAGCCAGAATCCCATCAGGAGGCAGAAGCCATCAGAATGCAATTCATGGGGCCTGCACCAGCAAGGTTAAGGAAGGGCCGGGGACCGTTTTCTCTGGGCCAACAAGAGGAAGTTGCCTTGGGAGGTACCTTGCAGCAGTGGCCCTCAGAGAGGACTGACCCTGCTTCCGACAGCATCGTGGAGAATATTCTAGACCAAGAGCAGCAGGGCTCAGAAAACTGAATGAACACTGGCAGTACTGAGTGAGAAGTGAGCCAGTACCCAGTGAAAAGTGAGGCAAAGCAGCGATGTGCTGGTCTCCTGCGCCTTGCAGATTCTCAAGCTGGGCACCCTCCCAAACAATGATGAAGAGGGAAGCGAGGGGGCCCATGGTACACATGCACCCACACAGAGGTTGAGAGGCCAGGCCTTGGAGTGCATAATCAAGTTCAGCTCCAGCTCAGCTGCCCACGTGACCTGACTCTCTACACCTCAGCGCCCGGTCTCTGGGGTGAGAGCCATAGACGCACCCAACACAAAGGATCATGGTGAGGCTTGTGTGTTTGTGGCATTTTAAACACAAGCACTCTCTGATTCAGGCATCAACTGGTCTTCATTCCTGGAAGATGTTCTCAGCCTCATCCATGGACTGAGCCCTGTGCCAGGGCTGCCAGAACAGAGAGAAATCTCCCTCTGCCCCCACATATATTTATACATACTATATATTATATACATTATATACATTACATACATTTACATGTTATATACATATATAACACATACATAATATGATATATTATATTATTACATTATAATATTAATATTTATTATATACACATAATATTATATAATATATTATACACATATATATTATGCATTATAATATGTATGTGTATACCTTAAACCAAGTATATATTATAACACCTTTGTCCAGGTATTAGCAACTCCTTGGCATGACCTGGGCCAAACAAACGTGATCTGAAGTGATTTATCAGAAGAATTGAGAGAGTGCTAGCAAGCTAGGAGAAGCCAGGACCTGGACATTAGAGGGAACCCAAGCAGAATACTTCCTCTCTCTTTTGGGGGTTCCCCTTCTTCTGGGAAGTTACATGGAGTAAAGCCACTTACGGCCTAGGTTCTGGGATCTTCATTCACTACTAAACTCAAAATAAGAGATGAGATGAAAAAAGTTACTGACCATATACTCAATATTATATGTGAATGAAAACCATCCCAAAAGATTGTTTTTTAAGATCATCATAATGTAAGAAAATATGCAAATACAGATTAGCTAGGAATACCCAGAAGATGTCAGAAACTCAGCCCCAGAGCTAAGTGTACTGCAAGGTGCCAGAAATGTTAGCAGTGGCCCAGTGTGGAGACGGTTCATAATTAAGGATAGGAATATTTAACGTTGCAAAGGTGTTTGTTGAACCCTAAATACAATCCTAAACAAAATCCCAACAAGTTTACCTGGTAATTCTGACAGATTAATTTTAAATGCTATTTGGGGAGAAGGAGGAGGAGGAGGAGGAGGAGGAGGACTAGAGAGAATGTGATTAAGAAAAGTTGTAAAACACGAGATCAGTGCACGAAACTCAGCTGTCCTCCCACACAGTAGCAGCGAGCAACCGGGGTGCAAGAGAGCACATCGGGGCGCCAGCACCAGACTCCGCACTTCCATAGGATACGTCAGGGTGAGGCTCCAGCCCCAAACCTTCCCCTCCCCTTCCAAAATACAGGAAATCTAGAGGCAATTCCAATTATAAAAGAACCAAAAAGAATCAGCCACACAGAGATACCATGAACAGAAGGTGCCGAAGCTTGCACTCTGGGAACTGCAAACCACTGGGAAAAGACAGCCCGTGGCCATAAAACAAAATGGTGCTGTCACCATGGCAACAAAGGCAGCTTCGATATACCTTCAATGCAATCCAGATAAAAATATCTAGTTGTGTCTTTTGCACAAACTGACAAGCAGGGTTTCTCTGTGTAGCTTTGTGCCGTTCCTGGAGCTCACTCTGCAGCCCAGGCTGGCCTCGAACTCACAGAGATCCACCTGTCTCTGCCTCCCAAGTGCTGGGATTAAAGGCGTGCGCCACCACGGCCTGGAGACAAACTGATTCTAAAATTCCCAAGAACGCCTAGCGCAATCCTGAAAAGGAACCGATCTGGAAAGTTTTTTTCTTTATTAAGAATTTTTTTATTCATTTTACAAACCAACCACAGATTCTACCCCCCCTTCCCCTCTCCCACTTCCCTGAGTCTTCCACCTCACTCCCCCATTCCCTCCTCTGAAAAGGTAAGGTCTCCCATGGGGAGTCAGCAAAGTCTGGTGCAAAGCCTGGCCCAAGCCCCTCCCCCTGCATCAAGGCTGCTCAAGGTGTCCCCCCATAGGTAATGGGCTCCAAAAAGCCAGCTCATGCATCAGGGATGGATCCTGATCACACTGCCAGGGGGCCCCTTGTAGCTAGAGTTTTCCTGCCTTGCCCACAGTCAGGACAAATCTCTGTCACCCGCCAGTCCCACAGCCGCTCAGACCCAACCAAGTAAACACAGAGACTTATATTGCTTACAAACTGTATGGCCACAGCAGGCTTCTTGCTAACTGTTCTTATAGCTTAAATTAATCCATTTCCATAAATCTATACCGGGTGGTGGTGGCGCACACCTTTGATCCCAGCATTGGTGAGGTAGAGGCAGGCGGATCTCTGTGAGTTTGAGAACAGCCTGGGCTACAGAGTGAGTTTCAGGACAGCCAGGGCTACACAGAGAAAGCTTGTCTTGAAAAAAAAAAGTTGCCACGTGACCCAGCAATTTCACTCCTTGCTATTCACTCAAGAGAAGGGAAGACCTAGGTTCATACAAAAGCTTGTAATAAGCATCCAGTGCACCACCATCCTCAGCACCAAAAAGGTACAAACAAGTCAGATGTCCACCCACTGATTCATGGTTGATTCACACAACAAAATATTATGCAGATATGAAAATGCATCAAGTATGGCACACACCAAAACAAAGAACCTTGAAAACACTATAAGCTACGTCAAAGCCTGGCACAAAGCCATGTGTACGCATGGATGTATATAATTCCATATGCATGAAATATCTGTGCAGACAAATTTATCAACACACAAAATAGATCAGTGATTGCTAGGGGCAATGAGGAGTGCCGCTAATAGCGGGGTTACTTTCAGAGAGAAAGTTCTCTGGCTATGGCAGTGCTTACAACAGAAATGGAACCATATAATTTAAAATGAATTGGGTGGAATGTGGGATGAATCACAATAAAAAAAAAAACAGAGGAAAGGATACAAATCTACAGATGAATGAAAGCCAAGAGCCAAGGTGTGCCAGAAGAGGAGCCAGGCTTGCCTCGCCAGCCGCCGAGATGCCCTCTCTTAATCTAGTCTCAAGATGGGGTATCTGGCTGCTTGCTAGCCTGATGCCACTACCGTGCTACTGTGTATATCTACTCAATTAGTGAGGGGCCCCCTTGAAAACACCAGTGGTGACATTCCACAGATGTTTGCAGGTCTCCCCATCCCCTGACCCACAAGGTAATAAATCATTCTGTCAGAGGTGCAGCAATATGAAAGCCCAGCCCCCTCATTTAACAGGCTAAGGACACCCAACACGCAAGGAAATAGGCTGTAGCTAGCTGGTCCCAGGGCTGTCTCTGAGTGTGGTTCTTGGGCTCTCTGAAGAGGGTTCAAGAGATGTAGGGAATGCAGCAGTGCCCTAACCCACACTCAGCCCACTCTGAGTCCCTGTGTCTTGGATTGTCCATATGAGTTTCTGCAAAGTGCTGAGAAGCATTGCTACAGAGGTTATCACAGACAACTGGACCAACGGAGTCACCCTAGATACTGTAGTTGACTCTCTTGGGGGACCCTCAAAGAAGAGGGGTGTACCTGGATGTCTTAAAGATACAGAGTTGGGATCTGCATTTCTCTAACATGCTGAAGCCATGAAGGTTTACCTAACCTTCAAAATTATAAGAAGATCCA